GAAAGAGTGACAGCCTGAGCCTTGAACCAGCACGGGGATCAGCTGAGGGGGATGACAAGGGTGGCAAGATGCAGGTCTAATCGAGGACAGCGGGGAAGGAGAGGGAGGGGTGGCTCCTGGGAAGGGAGAAGAGAACAGATTCTCTTTGATGGAAGGTGCAGCACCCACTAAGGTACTCTAAGGGGAGTGTCCCATGAAAGCCACAGTGTAAGGAAGGGAAGAAACCAGCTACTGCAGAAATCTCGAAGTGGATGAGTGGGAACCTACATAGCATGGCCCTAAGGGACTCCAGAAGGAACCCAGGGAAGAGTTGTCTGACACGATCAGGGACACGCAGAGGGAAGTGACCAAATAGGGAAACTGCCGAGCAGCTGAGAGAAAGGAGCTATCTGCAAGAAAACCTGCTACCCTAGGGTGCTGCTAAGGCTTCCAGCAAGACAATGGGGCAGGGGACAGGAAGGCACAGCTGGAGGGAGCCCTTGAAAGAAGGGCAGCTGTGCCAAACCCAGTGGGCACTGACCCTCAGCTTCAAGAGAAGGGAGCAGAGCCAAGTGCACCTGCGGTCCCCATTTGACCCAATGCCCTTGACCGCTCAGAGCCAGCTTCCGAGCCTGGCTTTGCAGGAAGCTGCCCCAGCTGCCCCAGGTGATTGTGCCGCTGCCCCGGGACAGACCTGTACTGCAGGAGCCCCTACCTCTAGTCTCAGGTACTCGTGGTGCAGCACAGGAAGTATTCTGAGAGAATGAAAGTACGGTCACATGATTTATTCCAGTTATAACTGCTCTATTTTTTTTTTTAAAGAGATTTTTGGTATAGAGCACTTGTGCTTGTGAGAGAGACAGAGACAGCAACAGAGAGAGAGAGAGAGAGAGAGAGAGAGAGAGAAAGAGAGAGAGAGAGAGATGGAAAGCGAGAAATTACCCCCCTGAGGGATGACCATGCTGCAATAATTTTTCCTCCATTCTTCTCTTGGATGCACACGCACATACTTGGCGTGAGTTTCAAAGTACCGGGTCTGGGACTCAAATTGCAGTAGACCAAATGAGAGGTCCAGCACCTTAACCACTATGCCACCTGCTGGCCCATAATTGCTCCAGTTGAATGGCTGTTACTACTAATCTCTTACTGTGCCTAATTTAGAAATTAAACTTCATAATTATGCATTTATAGGAATAAAGCAGTATGTAACAGGTCAAGTATCCCTTACCCTAAATGCTTGGGACCAGCAGAGTTTCAGATTTTGGAGTTTTATCAGATTTGGAATATCTGCATACACATAATGTGGTACCTTGGGAATGCAACCCAAGTCTAAGCATGATATTCATTTATGTTTCATATATACATTATACACATCATCTAAAGGCAATTTTATACAACATAGATTTTCCATTGCAGTATTTTGACTAGGCCCTGTCATGTGTGGTCAGGTGTGACTTTTCCATGTGTGGCATCATGTTGGAGCACTGTAAACTTTGGAAGTTTAGATTAGGGAGATTCAGCCTGTATAGGGTTTGGCACTATTCTGTTTCAGGCATCCAGTTTGGGCGGGGAGGGGTGTCTCAGAACATGTCCCCACCCCCAGGCAGGGGGAAGTACTGCACCAGTCAAGTCTACACTGGTCATCTCTCTGGCATAACTAGTTAGATACCAATTATTCCTTTGTGGGTGTAGGTGCTGCCTAGTGGCCGGGTAGAAGGGAGCAGCTTGTTTTTCTAAAAAGCTTGTGAAACTAGGAGAAAGAGACAGTTCCTGTCTTAGCCCCTGCATTCTGGGGTGCTAAAGGACTCTGTAGAAGAGAGTCCATGTCTTTGGTCCCCTGGCCTGAGATCCCCTGGATCAGCTCATTACATTGCTCAAAGTTATGTTAACATAAGTCCTACACAAAATGGGAAAAACATTTGCAAAATGAAAGGATTTTCAAGAAGAAAAATGAGAAAACAAATGAAAAAAGATCATACGGAATCATAAAATTAAGGAATAATTCCTTATTAATATTTTATGCCTTTGACTTCAGAAAGCACAGAGGGATATTTGGTGAAGGATGGCATCAGGCTGGGACAG